TATAATCTCCTCCCTCCGAACTAGAAGGTAAAGATAGATAGCTCCCTAATAATAGCTATCTAATATATTATTAAAGTCGTCTAGGCCGTATAGAAGTAGGGACGGGTAGTATCGCTTCTCTCCCTTAATATAGCCGGAGCGTTTAATAAGGTAAACTATATAAGACTTATTCATAACCTCCGGATGAGACGAATACCGGAATAGATTATACGCTTTATATAGTTATTCCTTATAGGAAGAACAACTTAGATATATATCCCTAGATACTAGAGCGAATATAAAGAGACGGTATACGGCATCCCATAAGGGAGTACTATCTCTCCGATTCTATTCCTCTTCTTTACGGTAGATCTTCTTTAAGGAATAAAGTATATAGAGGTAGTTGGATACGCTAATAATATATATCTTCTAGCTATCGATAATAATACTAACCGAACGTATAGAAGACTAGAATAGGACTATGAGAGGTACCTCTAGTAGGTAAAACGCCACGGAGTAAAGTTCGCCCCGGAGAAATACTAGCTCATGCACTTTATTAATCGTTAAGGGAAATAGGTAACTAGGGAAGGCGAATAACGCCCCCAAATCAACGCATTTAACAAACTACTAGTATAAAGCATACACACGCTCGGAGTTATACTAGATAGTAAGCTTAAATAGGGACTATAAGTAGTATACGCCGTCTCTAGGGCCCTCTAGATAGAAGCCGCTATATAACGGATTATAGCCTCCACGTAGAGAACCGCCTAGGATAAGGCATGCTAGCTATATATATCTATAGCACGACCCGCCTTTACGTACGGACACGAGTACTAGTATACGGCCCTTATATAGACTAGGTAAATAAAGCTCGAATCTATATAGAACCGTATACTCCGTCTTATATTAGGCGTATATAAAGCTACTAACACGGTGCTACTACGACGCGAGACAGACGTTATAAGTATATATAACTTCTACTAGATATAGAGGGTAGTATACTTTACTAAATAATAAGTATAGAAATATATAGGAAACGTAGAATATACTTTTACCGCGCTATATGTATAAATTAGTATATATTACCGCGTACTTCTATATATAGGCCGGAATCAAATACGGTATAGGTACTTAATAGAAGCCGACTCTAGCTAAGTAGTATAAGAAGTCCGAGATAACCCGGACGCTCTTCTAGACTAGTAGAGCCTTTAAGAACTTATAAAAAATATATAGTTATAGACTTAAGATAAGTAGAAAGAGACACTCTATACCTACTAGATCTTCTAGTAGAATAGGTATCTAGAGTAGATTCGAGAGCTATAGAAGGAACCGAGTAAATAGATATATAAAGGGCTAACGAAAGCCTAAGTATCTATACTTATCTAAGCCCGAACGGGCGCCATAGAACTCCTATACTACCTCTATAAGAGAGGCGTCCCTAACGTGTCTCTATAGTATAAGACGTACGGCCGGAGAGGTATAATACGCTACTATCTAGCTATATACCCTAACCTCTATATATAACGGTAATAGCTTATCTACGTTACGAAGACTTTAGATATCGTATAATAGCTTAATAAGTACCCTAAGGACGTCTCCCGATAGATACTTATATATCTACTACTCCTCTAGTACTAGTAGACCCGGAAATATATACCGGAAGAGACCCGGTATATACCGGTAGTAACCTAATATATACCGGAAGAACCCTAGGAGAACCCCGATTATTAGTCAAGGGCAGCCCTTAACTAATAACCTCCGTACCTACACGTGCTACCTAAGGGTAAAATAACAGTAATATAGGCTATAGGCTAATAGGCGTACCCTATAGCTATATACTTAAGACGAAATAGAGGTTTAACGAGATATAGTTATAGATATAAGGAAGTTTTTCCCTATGGGGTTTCTTCTTATATAGTGGCTTAGACTAGAGGAGGCATAGGCCTATAGAGTACTACTCTACCTAGTTATACAATATTATTATTATTATTATTATTATTTAGATATATATTCCTTATATAAGGAATATTATATATCTATTTATACCTGCCCTTTTTACAATTATCTTATTATTAAGTCTTAAAGATATAGCCCTAGGTCTACTTATATTCTTTAGCTCTATTACTAAAATATTAAAGGAGAAATTTAGTAAATATATTCTAGTTATAGATATTCTTAGAATATTTAATTTAGTATACTATCTAACGTTCTAAAGATATTAGATTAAGATAATTCTAGGTAAATCTAATTTTATTACTATTATTTATAAATAAATAGAAGAATTAGCTATATTAATAAGTCTATATATAGAAACTCTTTCTACTTTTACTATTAAAGTAAGATAGTTTCTTAGGTTAGAGTAATTAAGATAGTAGTAGACTAGAATAGACTATTTTAGTTAGTATAGATCTATATAGATATAAATTAGTTATTACTAGAACTAAAGTATATAATATAGCTTTAAGTTATCTTATAGTATATTCTTAAGCTTTATTAAGTTTATATAGTTATTACTTAAATTAAGTCTAATATTATCTCTCTTTATATAGTCTAGTATATATATTATTATAGGGTATAGTTAATATTAGATAGTTCTAATAAATTAGCTTATTAATATTAATAGGGTCTAGTCTTATATTAAGGTTAGATCTAGTATAGTTTAAACTAGACTAAGATAGAGTATAATAGACTCTATTCTTATATTCTATTATATCTTCTATAGTTATATAGAATATTATATAAGTTATTAGTATAATAGTCTATAAGATATAGTTATTAGTAAAGGTAGTTATAGATAGACTATTCTTCTTATTTAAGTTAGAAGAAGGTCTACTATAAGAGATAGTACTATAAGTATTATAATAAGTAGTTAGAGCTATTTCTATAAACGACTATTATACTATATAAAAAGAAATTAAAATATAAGAATTATAGATATAGAATAGTAGTCTAATAGATTATAGAAGGATTTAGAAATATATTTAAAAGGGTAGTCTACTCTTATAATAAGGTTAATTTCTAAAGAGTAGAAATTAAGTATATATAGTCTACTTATATAGTACCCTTACTTAATCTAGCTAACTTAATCTATATCTACCTATTATAGAACTATACTAGACTATAGTAGTCTAGTTAAGTCTATTCTAGTATTAGTTCTAATATTCTCTCTCTCTATATATTATCTAGTAATTAATTTTATTTATAAGAGTTTCTCTAAGTAGAGTTTCCTCTATTTTAGTTATTTATAATATTTTATATTTTTAGCTATTTTTTATTTTCTAGATAGAGATTTAGTTATTCTAGAATATACTACTATATAACTATTTCTACTATATACATAGTAGAGATATATCTAGTAGAAGCTAGAGTATATTAGTATCTAGAGCTACTATAATTATTAGTTAAGGGCTATTCTTAACTAATAAAAGAAGATTAGTATATTAGTATTTCTTAGTAGTAGTCTATACTTATATCTTTAAAGAGCTTTTAAGTATATATATATAGTATCTCTATATATTAGTATTATTATATATTATATACTATATATATATATATATTAGAGGTTATTATACTTAGTATACTCTATTAATTAATATATATAGATTACTATATTACTCTAAATTAACTAATTTTAGTTCCTTAGAGTATAAGAAGTTTTTTCTCTATATTTATATTATAATAAGTATAGTATAAATTATAAAGGGTATTACATATTCATAGAATAATTTATAGTATATTCATTTAATACTAAGCCCTTATATAATACTTTGATAACTATCTATCTACTCATCGTCATTTACATCAATGATTGTGTTAGTCCACTGGCGAGCAGGGATTCGACGCTTAAACATAATATCAATTTCACGGTACGAACGATGCTTCATCTCAGGCAGTCCAAAGTATGCAACTACAAGACAAACGAATGCTGTGGCACCCCTAGTCAATGTTAGTCGACGCCTAGATGTCTTTGAGTCGTATAGAAAGCATGTTGAACTTACCAAACATATCCACACTTGCCGCCCAGGTTACCGCCGGTCGGGTTCAGCATATAAGAGGCAAGGAAGATACAGGGAATTTCAACAATATAGTATGTAGCACGACCCATACCGGTTGTAAGTGGTCGCAGACGCAGAGCCGAGGTTTCTCCAATGATAACCCAAGAAGCTGGAGCAGGTCCAAGCGTAAAGAGAACGGAAACGATAAGACCCAGAGAAGCCTGCGCCAAGGAGGACGCGTCACTATACTGGTTAATAGATGCTGCGACACCCAGAGAGATAAGGAGAACAAAGTTTGCACCAGAACCCCATAGGTAGATTGAACGACGCCCGAAGTAGGTCGTTAGAATCCATGAAATCATAACGAAGATCATCTGAAGTGCGGAAGTGATAAGACCCAAAGCAAAAGCAAGTTGAACACCGATACCGGCCTGTCTGAAAAAGTATACAGCCTGGTTGGCGATGAGATTCCCAGTGAGATTCTGTGCTGCGTAGACACCGCACACAATGAGAGTTCGTCGAAGATCTGTCCCCTTGAATAACTCGATATGATTGGGCTGTGCGTCATTTTTCTCCATCTCCACGACACGGCGCATCATGGCAAGAGTCTCGGTCGTCTTCATCTGATCCTTACGTCCAAGACGCTCCACAGATTTCGCTGCTTCTTCGAGACGTCCCTTTCGAGTTAGCCACCAGGGGCTTTCAGGCGAGAAATAAATGAGGATGGCAAGAGGGGTCGGGAAAAGCCATTGGAGCGCAATGGGGATTCTGTATGCGGATTCGTCCAAGTGGTCGTTGTAGACGTAGGTTACGGCGCCAACAATAATGCTTCCGATAGCCCAAAACATCTGCAGCATCTGGGTTGCAGGAGCTCTGAGTTGAATGGGCACGATTTCACTGCAGTATGCCGGTGCATTAGCAATAAATATACCCCATGGGATGCCCTCGAGAAGTTGGGCAGCGAAAATGACAGGAAGCGAGTCACCAAAGTAAAAGACGAGGATGAAGGCATTCAGAAGCATCAGGCCAAAGATATTTGCCCATCGATATCCAATGTGGCTGGTCAGAGGTCCTGCGAGGAAGACACCGATGAGAGCACCGAGCTGTCCAGACACCTGAAGGGCTGACTGCCACTTTGTTTCGATGACCAAACTGCCATCTGCCGGATTGACGACGCCGTATCTGTTAATGAACTGTAGAAAAGATCAGTATAGACCAAGGCGTGGACAGCTTGTACTACACGCACAGCAGGAAGTGCTACAAAATTGCCGATGAGAAAGACGTCATACGACTCCATGATCTAGGGACTGTCAGCGACGTTGATTTGTTGTGTGAAGTACCCAGCTCCCTACAATGGTGCACGAGATGACGAAAGCCCAGAAGGAAGCCATGGGATAAGCCTTCACGGCCTGCATGACGGTCATGTCATGTTCAGCATTCTCAGCTTCAATAGCATCGGCTTTGTAGTCGGCAACCTGAGCCTTCTCAACAAAGGCAGCACCATGTTTATCGTCGACGTAATGCTTTTCGGGATCCATGCTAGATGATATCGTGTGCTATGTTGTCGAAGGACTGGGCTGAAGGACAACGGACGCAAAATGCCGGGTCGAGCGCGATTGATATAGAATCTTGAATGGCAATTCGCAAGCAACAGACAGGCGGCGCCATCTCATGGCAAAGCATGGCTTGGGCCCTGTCTATCTATGGTCTGGAGAAGCGGATCCCGGGAGGGATGAGGAGGAGGAGAAGTCGAAGTAGCTTGATCGCTAGACTGCCCGTGCGCTCGTGAAAAATGCTTAGAAACAGGCAGCTGTCAAACAGTAGACCGGCGTCCAATCCTCACCACTTGTTAATGATACAGCCGTCGTATGTAGGTCTCTGGGACTCACTGGTGGGTTAGGTGGGATATCTCCAGCCGAGGCCACCTCCGGTTAGCTAATGTACATTTATTATCCGCCAATAGTACTGGAATAGTCGAAAGCCTCCCGGTGGAGCGTAGTCGCAACGCTTAGCATAGTCAATATCATCCGGTGGGGCCATGGGTGAAAGTGACGGTCTAGGGCCGAAAAGTCAACACTATCCCTCGTTTTCCTAGAACCTGAGTCGCTTAGCATTTTTCGATTCTACGCGTGTGTTTACACACCCTAATCAGATAGCTTTTTTACCTCTCTACCTCTATATAAGAGTCTATATATAATAATATCTATATAGACTTATAGAGTAGAGTAAGGCGATTAATTCTATATTATTTTTAAGCTCTATACTCTTAAATTAACTCTATAACAAGAGGGTCTAGTTTCTTAGAGAAGAGAAAGAAGGTAGTTTTCCTAGAACCTAACGTGGTTTTTATATAGCTCTCTTCTAAGAACTTTTTAAAATTCTTTTCTATCTCTTTAAGAGAACTTTAAAAGAATTAAATAACTTTATAGAAGGATAGAGATATATCTAATTAATTATTATATCTACTTTTTAAAGCTCTTATATACTTAGAATAGATATAAAAGTAGAAAGAGCTCTATATATAAAGATAGAAAAGAGAATATATATATACTAGTACTAGTAACTTAGGTTCTAGAAAAATAATAGATCTACTAGTTATAGTCTATAGCTATAGAAGTAGTTAAATATTATCTTATTATATATTATAAGAAAACTAAGTATAAATATTAGTTTACTACGTTTAGCTATTAGATCTATATTTTAGATTATCTAATATAGTCTTATCTATATACTTAGTTAGTCTACTCTATAATCTCTATAGATATTCTTCTTAGTCTAGATCTTCTTATAATAGTCTTATCTATTAATAGCTTTTCTCTAAATTCTAGTAGAATATACTTATAGCTAGAGACTCTATCTTAAGATTAATAAGTATTCTAATTTTATTCTAGTTAATAAGATAATACTTACTATAAAAGTATCTATCGTTTTTCTAGAACCTAATAAGTAAGAACTTATATATATATATATATATATATATATATATTCTTACTCTAATCTATTTATATAGAGCCCTTTCTACTTTTATATCTATTCTAAGTAAATAAGAGCTTGAAAAGATAGATATAATTAGTAATTAGATATATATCTATTCTTCTATAAGTTTATTTTATTCTTATAAAGTCTCTTTAAAGAGATAAAGAAGTATCTTAAAAAGTTCTTAGAAGAGAGTCTATATAAAACTATATTAGATTCTAGAAAAACTATACTCTTTCTTTTTTATAAGAAACTAAACTCTTTTATTATAGATATAGAGAGTATAATATATAATATCTATCTTCTCTTTATTTATAGAGTATATCTTATCTCTATAGTTAAGAGAAAGATAAGTAGTAGAGATATTATAATATCTACTAATTTAGTCTATTTTATAAGATACTACTTAGTTCTATAGTATAATAAGTATATTTATAGATAATTATATACTACTTCTTCTAATACTTATACTATAGTTATAAGAATAGAGTAATAGAATAATAGTATAGTTAGATAGAATAATAGAGTATATTCTATTATAGAATAAATTACTACTAAACTCTTTTAGTAGAAATCTAAGAGTATATATATAAAGAGATACTAATTTATTTAGTATATAACTATTTACTATCTATTATACTATCTTCTAACTAAATTAGCTAAGATATATATAAGTCTAGCTTTTATCTAAGACTAAGTTCTAATAATTATTCTCTTTCTTTAGAAAACTATTCTTAATAATCTAGATTATTATCTAACTCTATAGTTTCTATTCTAAATTCTAGAAGATCTTAGTTATTTATTATACTTTAGCTTAGAATAAAAACTTTCTATATTCTAATAGACTAAACTAGTTAATTTAAGGTAATATAGTAATTTATATATATTAAATAATAGAGTATACTAAGTATAATAACCTCTAATATATATATATATATATATATATATATATATATAGTATTCCTACGGAATTATAAAAAGATACAATGTTTTATCTAGCGCCTGCTAGCGCCCTTACCAAAACCACGATAAAAAAACTACCTTTTACTATATATTAAATTAACTAGAGCCTAATTTAAAAATCTAGTCCCTAGTTTTATAGCTCTATCTATAATAAGTATTTTTATATACTTTTTACCCTCTATAGGGCTATACTTATAGATAAGATAGGTTTATAAGCCTCTAGTATTACGTTTAGTAGTAGCTTAAAAATTCACACATCTTAGCCGTGGATTTTCCGGCGTGCCTTAGTACCTTAGTATCTTAGTAACGTAAATTAAGACTACACGTAGTCTACTAGCTATAGGCTACCCTAGTATAATATATAATAATACTAATATATAGAGATACTATATATATAAGCTTACTATTACTTTATATATTCTATTAGGAACTTCTTATACCCTAACGGACTAAACTAGTCAATTCGGGGTAAAACAGCGATTTACATACATTAAATAATAGAGTATACCGAGTATAATAACCTCCGACATATGTATGTACGTATAGTGTATAATACGCGACGATACTAACGTATAGAGATACTATATATATACGCTCGAAGACTCTTCGATAACACGAGTATAGACTATATCTAATAAACGCCGATATACCGACCCCCTTTTATTAGTTAAGGGCTACCCTTAACTAATAACCATAGCGGCCTTAGGCATTATAATACCCTAGTATACGCTAGATATACCCCTACTAGTACGGTAGAAACGGCTATATAGCGACATTAATATAGATAGCTAGACACCTATCTAAAATATAGGAACTAACTAAGGGTGCGAAGTACTATAGATAACCTAGACCGAGGGGACCCCGAGAGGGGAGACCCTCCTAGATAAAATTAAATACTAGATAATATATATAGAGAGGGACGCCAAGAAGGGAAAGAAGACCCTCCTTTATATATTCCGGGACCTTATCCGGAACCTAAGAGGAATTATAGAGAAAGAAAGAAAGTCGCCACAAGAGGAACCTAGTAGTAGACTCAACCGAATAGAAGCTAGCCTACAGAGAATCTAGGAAGAGCTATCCTAAGGTAAGCGCCCTAACACGTAGGCTTAGATTATAGTAATACCCGGAGCTACCGCACTAAGAACTACTAGAACTATAGATAGAGTATATAGTATACGTATTATAATCTAGAATAAGAATACGCTAGCGTAGGTCTAACGGGTATCCCTAAAGGAAATTATAAATAAGATTAATAAATAGAAAGAAATATAGTCAAGCATCGTGGCTACTAAAGTTACGCTAGATAGGGTAGTACTTACTACTATAATAAATACTACATAGTAAAACATCTCGCGAGATCCAAACGCGATAGGTAGTATCTTCCCCAGCGCGTCTATTAGAGTAGCTATATACCCGATTATAGTACACGTAGTACCCATACAGGGATAGGCTATTAGAGCGGAGGATATTACGTGTATAGAATAATCTAATACGCGAAAATACCTAGGGATTAAGATTATAAAAGCGTGGTAGAAGAACCTATAGACGATTAAGACGACGGCGAAAAAACACTCTACTATAATTATAGAGCTCCGAGACCCCGCCCTTATATAACATATTATATAGAAGGGATTCCTAATAGAAGGAGAGCTCCTTATAGCCGAGCCATAGAATAGGGTATAGGTAATAATATAGTACTTTAACTATTAAGGGTATAGATATACTATATAAAGGTACTTATAGAAGACTAAGTATAGATAGTACCGTGGGGACCACGCTATCTAGAAGTACCCTTATAAACCGCGAGGAGACGGACTAAGAAATAGAGATATAGTATAGTATTTAAACTACGATAGGAAATACCCGTCGTGGTCGTTAACGTATATAAAATGTAAATAGATTATAGAATATATTCGTATGATAAAAGCGAGAGACACGAGATGGTTATAGAATATAATATCTACCACGAGCCCTTCCTTTATAATACCCCTAACCTCCCCTCTAGAAGATAGTTAGATAGGATAGTAGACTATCCTAAAGACGATAGAACGACTAAAAGGTATAGTTAAAGCCGCTACCGCGCAAGGATAGTCGCGCCTCTAAGGAATAAGTATATAGATATATATACTCTCTAGTATCTAATAAGGGACTAGAATATACTCCGAATTATATAGGTAAATATATAATATAAAAGAGAGAACTAGGCGACGCTCCTTAAAGAGACTAGGGCTATAATACTCGCTATCTAGGAACCCTATAAATACTACTAGACGAGTAAACTAAC